TTCTGATGCTAGTCTGTCAGCTTTGAAAGTTTGATTTATGAATTTTGTGTTCGTACAGCTTGTGTAAATGTAATCATTTTAAATATAATTTTCTCTATGGGTTGTGTGATCCTTTTTTTATTTCTGGTACCAAGTGGTTTTAATACCCCACATAATAGTCAATTAATTTTCGTCCTCCACACAGAATCTGAAAATCAAAAAAATTGATTTCTATGATAAGTGTTACAATGTGTGATTTCCTCTTTTTCCATATCACCTTTGGCCTTATTTTAACATTTCTTATACATTCACACAGTATTTAAAGGCATGGCTTTTCCGTAAGAGTATCTTTGTGGGTATACTGTGACTCTGTATCTGAATCAGATGATGTTCAAATCTAGAAATTCAGTTTGAATCAGAGTAAATCATGCTCACAAAGACTTAATAATGAACAAAAAATAATATTTAATAGGTAAACTATCATGTGGTTTGAATTACTTGAAGTAATTTATGACATTCTCTTTCCAGAGTCTCCATTGACCAAATTATCAAAAGATTGCTTTAGTTAAAATGGAATCCAAACAAAAGCTCTCATCCCCCATTGGATGAGATTTGTCCTTGGGAATGTCATAATCTTAAAGGCTGATACCATCAAATTATGATGATCTCCATTTTTTCATCATATACAAAGAAATGATATTTAGCTATTTCCAACAAAGCTTTTAGCTTTTTAATGGTGGATCATTGATATCTGGAGACATATTGAAATTCTTTGGAGTATTTTTGTTAACATATCTTCCTGTAGGTTAAAATACACTATATTCAGTTATAGTTGTCTTTTCCTTTCAAATCCAGAGATTATCATACTTTCTAGATTAGACTACATCTCAGATTCACTCACTTACTAAGCAATGATTTGGATTCACAAGGTTTGGAAAAATAACTTGCCTAATTTAGTTGTAGCCTTCTAGACAAGTTTTAAAACTTCAGTATTAAAAAAAATCAGTTATTTCTATTCACCTGATTTCTGAAGACAATATAGAGTAGCTATTTTCAAGACTCCTTGTAATTAGAAATCTTGAAAGGGAAGAAGATAGGAAGTAACCCTTGAAATCTATTCAACCCACTCATTTTATATGAGTGAAAATTCAATATAAGCAGATCCTCAATGAAAATATTAGTAGGATTCATTTAATTAGTAAATAGGGATACCTTATTGGCTTTAGCTTATGAAATTAGGATCCTCTCTAACCTGGGATCCATGATATAACTACATAATGTTAAAAAGAAAAAAATACAAACAAAAAGCTTTTACTCCTTTGTCAGCTATTTGACAAGTAACGTGTCAGAAACTTGAAGGAAAAAATTGAATTACAATACTTGAATGGGGAAGTTATAATATCAATCAATTTGTATATAATTAAGGTAATTTTAATACATGAATAATGGCATTGAGTTATGTTAAAGCGTACTGTTCACTTTCTAAAAATTCCTGTTCTCTAACCTTTTGATTATTAACAAGTCAAGGCTATCAGGAGGTGTTTTGTGTTTTCCCAAACCATACATGGGTTACTTCCTTCTAAGGAATTGCTACTTGTAGAGTTAAGAAACTGATGCTTAAAATGTGTATGTTTTGTTTATACTTGGATTTTGTTTTGTTTTTTCAAGATGCCATTGGATACAGGGGTTGTGTGATTTAGATTTTAAATATTCAGATAATTATCTTGTTTTCTAGCTTTGGATTTGGAAAATAATGTTCATGATAGCTGGAAAGTCATTGAACAGTGATAGTGATTTTTAACAGATCAGAACTGCTGATTCAGAAGTAGTAAATCTACGCTCCTTCAACTTTACTAGTACTCCATAGAATTACATTATTTAGTTTCCTTATAATAAAGTAGAGACCCAATGCACGAAATTCGAGCATGGGTAGGGTCCCTGGTTGGCGATCAGGGCCAGTCTGCAGGGCAACTGGTGGGACCATCAGGGGGCCCCTCCTGGCACCCGCTTTGGCCGGCCTGGTGCGCCCGCTTGCCAGCCCCACTGCTGCCGTAGGTCGCCTCGCTCTGTGGGAGGGGCCTGTGGGCTGGGGGGCAGCTCCTGCGTTGAGTGTCTGCCCCCGGTGGTCAGTGCATGTCATAGTGACTGATCATTCTGCTGGTAGTTCCCTGTTGGTCGATTTGCATATTAGGCTTTTATTATATAGGATAGGATAATTCACATATAAAGCAATCACATTATTTTATTTTCCACAGGTATGTTTGCAATTCGTGCTGATCATGATTTTGTAGTACAGGAAGACTTCATGAAAGCAGTCAGAAAAGTGGCTGATTCTAAGAAGCTAGAGTCAAAATTAGACTACAAACCTGTGTAATTTACTGTGAGGATTTTGATGGCTGCATGACAGACATTGGCTTAATGTAAAAATAAAGTTAAGGAAAATAATGTATGTATTGGCAATGATCTCATTAAAAGTCATGAATAAAAACATATATGAATAACAAAAATTAGTAACTCAGTATTTGTACTTTAAGATTGGTACAGAAGAAATTTGTATGTTTGTTAATGTTGCATTTATTGCAGCAGAAGTTATAAGTGTGTTGTAACTTTTCATATTTGTTGTGTGAGCATTTTATAAAACATTGAAAATGGTTTGAGATAGTAGTACATTTCTATGACTTATTTTATATTGTTTGTTTTCCTCATCCTAAAAAGTTGAATAAAATCTGTTTCATTCAGTTCTACATATATTCTTGTCTTTTGTAAGAGTACATTTATTATTGTCCTTAAGGTTCTTTATTTAGTAAGTAAACTATTTAATAACCAAGATGAAGTTGTATTTAGATTAGGGGTGGGGAACCTTTTTTTGCCAAGGGTCATTTGGATATTTAAAACATCATTCCCAGGCCATACAAAATTATCAACTTAAAAATTAGTTGCTAATTTGGTCAAACATTTAATTAAATCATCCCTAATGCCTTGGCAGGGCCAGACCAAATAAGGCCGGTGGGCCAGACGTTCCCCACCACTGATTTAGATTGTTGGCTTTTTAATTTTATTTCAAAACGGTACCCACACTGTTTTCATAACAGCATCTTACTGTGTTTTCATGTCTAGATACCTTCTTTCAGAAAGTCTTTAATTTTCACCTACTGTAACTAGGCTGTATAATAGTTAATTAAAATAGTACAAGCACATCCATAACCTTTTAGATTATAATTGAAAGTAATATTTGCTAATAAACATTACTTAGTTTTTGGTTTTCTTAGGTTATATGAGATGATAGTTTCCTTTTTGAGAATGTCACAGTCTGGGCCCTCTTCCCAGAAAAGTTGGCACATAAGTATACATAATTTTGCACATACTAAAACTTAAGATTTATTATTTCCCAAGTTCACCCATGGACTCTATAGGTGTCTATGGATACCAGGCTGAGTGTCTGATGTAGGGGATGTTGATGTCAGAAATGTTTGAAACAAAAGTTCTGTTACCTATACGCAGTTCTTTCTCATATCATGTGGCAGTTAAAGATTTAACGTTACAATCGGAAATCATCATTGGGCATCAATTAAGATGATCTTATTAAAGGTGTTAAAAAAAAAGAAACTTGGCTTCAGTTTCATACACACTAAAAAACAAACATTATATGACCTGGGTAATTAATTATACAATCATTCTTCAAAATAAAAACTTACTAACCTGGCCAGTGTGGCAAAGTGTTCAGAGCTTTGGCTCGGCCACCGAAAGGTCTTGGGTTTGATTACCGGTCAAGGACAGGTACCTGGATTGTAGGTTCAATCCTAGCTAGTTGGGCGAGTTTGAGAGGCAACCACTGGATGTGTCTCATGTTTCTCTCTCTCTCTCTCCCTTTCTTCCCTTCCACTCTAAAAATCAATGGAAAAATTATCCTCTGGTGAGGATTAATACACACAAACACAAAATTAGTGTATTGTATGCTTTTTTATAACTTTAAAAGAGAAAACAGATTACATAGTAGAAAAAATGGATTGCTGAAGCTAGCCACCTAAAACTCAAAACTATTGAACAGTTCCATTTCTGTCTGTATGTTGACTATGTTTCATAAATATGACAATATGAAAAGTAATAGGATATTTGTGTTGGAGGGTCTAGGTCAAATACCCATGTGATTCTCTTTATCCATTGTAATTTGCAATTTAATTAATAAATGACTTGCTTTTTTACTTTGGTGGTGGTTTTTTCAGGAATCAGTTTGGTATACAAACCTTAAATATTTAAAGTGTGGGTTCTTCTAAGCTTGATTTTCCTCATCTGTTTAAATACAAAAAGGATAACAGTATCTCCGTAGGTCCAGAGAGAACATCATATACCTAATCTTTATTAACAATATAGTATTTACTCTGAGTCCTTTTTAAAAGATACCGAAAGCCATGTAGTTCATCACCATTTGAAATATTCATACCCTTCAAGTTAAAGGGAGAGACCTTTCTTCAGTATTATGTACAATTTACTGAGTTATCCATTCCATTTCTATTTCTTAGAACTTTTTTCTATTTGGCATTTCTTGAGATTTCCTAGTTGTCATATACCGAAGCCCACCATTTCAATTTGCTTAAAAGTGATGGGTGTTTCATTCTTTGTGGAGCATACTTTTAAGATGAACGCTTCACTCATCACTCTTGGTTATAACCTCACCACAGATTGCGCAGGATTCTGAGAAGGGAGAAACCATGGTTTTCCTTTCGGATCCCAGCTACTGGTGGCTGGGATGTACTGACCATTCTTAGACCAAGGAAGAGGTTTGCGTCTGTGTGGAAGGCTCGACCTGGTTGATTGCCCACTGCCTTTCCCAGGACCTTCAGGCCTTCCCTCCCTCCTGCCGCAGCCCCGCCTCCCACCCCGGTGAGCTCCGCTCGGGCCCTCCGAGGCGCCGCCCCCTGCGGCTGCGCTGTCGCGAGGGGGCGGGGCGGCGGCGCGCTGACACCTGGCGGCCGCGGGGGGCGGGCCGAAGGCGAGCGTGGGCTGGGATTGGCTGGGCGGAGCGGGGAGGGCCGGAGGAAAAGGGAAGACGGTTGTGGGGCTCGTGGTAGTACCCCTGTCTGGGCCGCCTGCGGGGCACGGGGACTCCGGGGGAGGGAGACCGCAACAGCATGGCGGCCGGGTATGAGCCGCCCCACCCGCCTCTGCCCCTCTGTCGCCGCCGCCGCCGCCGGAGCCGCCGGGACCCTCTGGTCTGCGTGTGTCAGTTGTAAGGCCGCCGCCGCCCGCCAGCCCTCAGTCCGCCGGCCCTCCTTCCTCTACCGCCGCTGCCGGCCCGACGGTCGGGCTGGCGAATCACTCTACTCCCACCCCACCCACCAGTCCGTCGGCCGGGATCATGGAGGACGTGAAGCTGGAGTTTCCCTCGCTCCCGCAGGGCAAAGAAGACGCCGAGGTGAGTCTGCCCCTGGCCGCCACGCACAGGCCGAGGGGAATCCCAGGCCCCAGCCGTGGGAGCCTCCGAGGCTGCCGGAGCCCGGTTGCCTCTTGACGTCCCGGGGTCTCAGGCAGGAGCCTCCCGCTCGGGGGCGGTGGCACTTTCCCCGGCTCAGGTCCTGCCCTCCGCAGGCGCCGGCCGACGGGTTGGGTCCGGGGTCATTAATTGAACGAGGTGGGCAGAAGCCGTCTCCCCACCCCAAGTCAGCGTCGAGGAAAAGCAATGCGAGGGAAACGTTGCTTTTACTCTCCATCCGAGGGATGGCTTTGGCGTCACAGACTTCACCTGTGGGACTTCACCCACGTGCGGACTAGATACGGGGGCTGACGTTCAAATGCTCCTTTGCAGAAGTTTCCCAAAGTAGTTGTTTTTGTTTGTTTGTTTTGAGGCAGAGCTACAAAGCTGGCTTATTTGAGTCTGAAAACTTAAATCAGAAACCTTGCCCTTTGGAGGGAAGTTAGTAATAAAATTCTTATATAGCTTGGCTTCCTGATTTCTACTTTGGAGTTCTTTTTATAATCCATTTTACTTTTTCCCCCCCGTCTAACTTTTGTATTGAGTTTTGTGTTGCTGGTTTTTTTTTTTTTCGTGTCTTTTTTTTTTTTTTTTTTTTACCCCATCTACTCCTTACTTCAAGTGTATTGCAGAATATTAAATTAGAATTTTCTGAACTCTAAATTAGTAACAGGACAAGGCATGCGTTAGCACGATCAAGAAAGAAAGAAATCTAACATTTCTAGTTTTAAATATCTTAAAAAGTAATTGGAAACGCTCTATTTTTAAGAGACCATTCAGTTTATACCAAATATTCATTCTGTTGAATATCTTCACTTGGGGTTCACATTTTTTTGTTTGGAGGGATCTTTTGCTTGTGGTAGTGATCCTTGAGATTTGCATATGTTTTCAGAATAGATTCTTTTTTACATTTTTATTGATTTGAGAGAGAGAGAGAGAGAAGGGAAAGAGAGAGAGAGAGGAACATCATTTGTGGTTCCATCTACTTATGCATTCACTGGTTGGTTTATTGTATGTGCCCTGACCAGGGATCGAACCCACAACCTTGGGGTATGGGAAGGACACTCTAAACAACTAAGCTACCTGGCCAGGGCCGGAGTAGACTCAAATAGGAAAAAAAAAAGTTGAATTTATGTTTAATAATGAATTTAACCTTTTTCTTTGTTTAATATGGAATAGTGTAAATGAGTATGTTTTTATATCTTCATAAGTACTCAGTCATTTCAGCACTGGAAACAAACTTAGGAATAATGTAGAGCATCCCCAATTTTCAGGTGAAGATATTGCAGTTTACTGAGAATAAGTCCATGGTAACAGAGTAGCACAAGACAGTGAGGACCTCAATTCTTCCCTGCTCTAATCCTAAAATTTCCAGTTTAAAATGTTTACAGATTTTAATTTACTCTTTTATTGAGTATATAATATGTGTTATCCCTGCAAAAATTATAAAATCTTACTGAAAATATAGCTTTCTTGTTCTCTGTGTGGGACAGAAGTAATGTTTAAAGTCTAGTAGATAATGATAACAGATACTACCTACTGAAAGCCAGTTAATTCCTTATTTCATAACATTAGATGTTTCTTCTCTTTTTGTTGCAAAATCAGTCTAGCTTAAGCAAAAAGACATGAAGTAACTGAATCCAGAAAGTTAGAGGTGCAGCTAATCTCAGGGTCCTGACTAGACAGTATTATAGTGCATCCGAGCTGCCACTGCCTCTCATCAGTGCTTGTCCTTACTTTCTCAGTGTCTCTGCTTTTCCTTGGGCTCTTTCACTAGCATGGCGTTTGGCCATCGACTTCTCCGGGGCCTACACATTGAGGAATAAAAGCACTTTTCTCCAAGCTTCAGTGTTTAAAATCTAGAGGACTGGCCCAGCTTGGGTCATGTGCCCATCCTTGGGATCAGTCACTACAGCCAGGAAGTGGTAAATATAATGAAGGGCCCAGGCTAGGTCATGTACCTGCTTCCTTGGCTAGGATAGTGAAGTTCATCATTGGGAGACATTTCCACAGAAGATGGAGAGTGCTTTTGGGGCAGACAAAACTTTAAATACCCATTAAATAGGGTGTGTAGTTACTCATGCTAAACTGATAAACTAATTTCCACCGAGATATGTGAAGTGTCAAATGGTTTTAAATGTAGTTAGCATGACCAGCCAGCATAGTGTCTTCCACATAGGAAGCACTACATGAAAACTAAAGTACAATCCAAATCTTGCTTTAGTAAAAATGGAATTCAAGTAAAGCAAGAATACTCTTAATGATGGATGTGATCAAGCTGTGATAGCCTGATGATCCTATCATCTCTTTAAGAACATTACTTCCAAGTTTCTTGACATGCTGGTCAGGGCATTCTTTATAGGTCAGTGTTTGTGTTACCAGTCCAAAGTGCCCCAAAGCTTTGAAAGGCAAGACTAAGCAGGAGCTGTTATCCTGAAGGTCACAGAAACAACGCAGGCTTGAACAAGATGGAGTCAGAGGCAAAGCATTTCACTTTTACATGAGCAAAAATTTAGCTGTGTTCAAATCAGTTTGCAAAAAGATCACTCCTTTGTTTAAAAACACTGTGATTCCCGTTGTTTTGAGGATGAAGTTAAACCTGTAACATCATCTGGAGGGTCCAATGTGTTCTTGAATCTGCCTACCTCTCTAACCTCATTATGAGCTATTCTTCCTCTTGCTCCCTTCTTTGTATGCCCTAGTTATATTCATCTTTTCTCAGTTCCTGTAATGCTTTAATTCCTCCCCTCTCCCCCCACCCTCTCCCAATTAAGTACCTTTGCATTTACTGTGTTCCTCTGCATGGCTGTCAGCACTTTGCTTGCACTCAACTAGTTAACTATAGGCATGCATTGCATAATGACATTTCCACCAACTTTTTTAGTTTTTATAGGCAGAATGAAGATGGAACCAAGAAATTAAAAGTGAATTATTTCAGGCTAGGACACCTTCCTCTAAAGGGGGGGTGGGGGGGGCCTTTTCAGACAGATAAGAAATTCCAGATGGCCCAGCCGGCATGCCTCAGTGATTGAGCGAGGACTTATGAACCAGGAGGTCAAGGTTAGATTCCTGGTCAGGGCACATGCTCAGGTTGCGTACTCGATCCCCAGGTTCTATTTCTCTTTCCCTCTCTGAAATAAATAAAAATGTATTTTAAAAAATCAATTCCAGACTGCTTAAGATTATGATTCTGGAAGAGGCTGAAACTGTGTTTAGAATCGGGTATTAGCATTGTCCATTGTTTCTCGTTGGATAGAGTGGTAGCCTGAGCACAGAAGGTTCGTGGATTTGATACTGAGCCCCAGTTAGGGTACGTGCTGGAGGCAACCAATCAATGATTTTCTCTCACATTGATGTTTCTTCTCTCTTTCTCATTTTCCTACCTCCCTTCCACTCTTTCTAAAAGTCAATGGAAAAAGGTATCCTCTGGTGAGGATTAACAAAAACACAAAAAAGAATCAGGTAGTCAATCTAGGTTTGGTATCATTGTCTTTCATCAAGAGTGATACCGTTTAGGGCCTGTGGTTTTCTGTTTAACAGTTTTGATGATAGAATCTTTCTTACTTGTGGCAAGATTATAGTAGTTTTTTAGATGTGAGGAAGAAAAATAAATTTTACAGTGTTAATTTTTTAAACAAATTGGTTGCATAGTTAGGACTGTTGGTTTTATAATTCAAAAATTAATCTATTTTCAGGTAGAAAGTGAAATATAATTTACTTTAATTGTAGGTTAGCAACTTAAATGTTATCTTTTTCTTTATCTTTTTATAATATTTTTTATTCATTTCAGAGAGGAAGGGAGAGGGAGAGAGATGGAAACCTCAATGATGAGAGAGAATCATCAGTCGGATGCCTCCTGCATGCCCCCCTACTGGGAATCGAGCCTGAAACCCAGGCATGAGCCCTGACCCGGAATAGAACTGTGACCTCCTCGTTCACGGGTCCATGCTCAACCGCTGAGCCACATCGGCTGGGCCCTTTATCTTTTGATTCCCTTAGTACAGTGGTCGCCAAACTCATTAGTCAACAGAGCCAAATATCAACAGTACAACAATTGAAATTTCTTTTGAGAGCCAAATTTTTTAAACTTAAACTATATAGGTAGGTACATTGTTATTAACTTAATTAGGGTACTCCTAAGCTGGCCTTTACTAAAAACGTCCTCAATCTGAGGGGTCGACCTCAGTGAACATACCCCCACTTCTTCTAACGCCACTTCTTCAAAATAGACTTGCCCAGGCCGAAAACCGACTTCTGCGCATGGGCCACGAAGTTTCAATCGCACTGTACGTGCACGCCCACACGTGGTATTTTGTGGAAGAGCCACACTCAAGGGGCCAAAGAGCTGCATGTCGCTCACGAGCCGTGGTTTACTGACCACTGCCTTAGTACAACATCAAAAATAGGGCTTACTTAATAGCACTGACTTGAGCATCCCTTTCCTAGTACCTTTACATTTAGTGGTGCTTTTGTAACCTGACTTAGAGTAAAATTACCTAAGGAACTTTTTAAAAATAGCCATGCCTAGACCCACCATCATCTATTCTGATTTAATTCGTCTGAGATGGAGCCAGATAATTCTAACGAAGGTGGGCAGGTTTAAGAAAAATTGATGTAGAAGCATTTTACTTGAATGCCTCTCTGTCTTCCCATATTCTCCCAACCCTTTTGTTTTTGAGTGAACATCTTTAGTCCTTTGTTTTTGGCAAAGTTTGAGCAAGGGATGGCAACTAAAGGAACGGGCTTATTCTCAAAGAGGACTACATTTTTGGGAGGAGACTGTAATACTAATTTATGGTTTCTGAAACGTCCCAGATCAGATATAGAATTCTGATCATTCTTTTCTCCCCAAGTTGTTCCCGACCTATGTAATATTTGTAATCTATCTTGGCATTTCTAAAAATTATGTGTTTTAATCTACCTGATAGTAAGAATTGAGTTTT